AATTCAAATAGGTGTAAAAATGAATTGGCATTAATCGGAAAATGTGCTAGAAGAATAAGTTTTTAATAAAAATAAGTGTTAAGAAAATAGAAGTAAAATATTCATACTCAACACTCAATTTTGTTACCATTTTTAGTACATTTTATTATTAATATTAAAATAATAGTAGTGAAATATTCATTTTATTAATATTAAAAAAATAAGAATGAAATATTCATACTCAACACCTATTTTTGTTAAAAACTGTGTGTTACATGTTAAAATGAATTGACATTTATCGGAAATGTGGTCAAAGAATAAGTTTTTAATAAGCATAAGTATGATACAAATAAGGAATGAATTATTTATTTATGTTATGAGTTGTGGGAATTTAAACCTTCTAGGAATGGCTGGACATTGACCTTAGGGTGGGTCCCACACTGTTGCAAATTAAATATCTACATATACATTAACTTTTGTTACGGCCAGTCTCTTAAAATTTGAAGAAGAAAAAATTGTTTTGTTACAATCTCATAAAACTTGAAGAAAAAGAAAAAGTGGTTATAGTTTTAAGGGGAAAAAATGGAACAAAAAATTATGTTTTTGGTTGTATTTTGGTTTGTAGCATGGATGAGTGGTGGAACAAATGGGCTTTGCTTATTGCTTCTTCCAAATATTTTGTAGATTATAAGCATCAAGTTGATGTATGTCATGCTTATCATGTGTTAAAAGATGAGTTATGAAGTTGACAAAATTGCCAACATGCAAGTCACGCACGCACGCGCACCATGCCTTGCCAGACCCAGTTTTTTACCAAACTTCTTGCCAATTTCCAAGACCTTTACAACACCATTTTAAAAATTCAAAGCCAATACATTGAAGTTGGTTATGCAAGCTTTCCATAGGCCTCATTTTCATGCAAATCTCACGAGGGAATTGGGAGAAATTTGAATGGAGTTTGAGCTGATCAATGGACTATGCATGCATGCATTACTTTTCATAATTTTATGCTCAATCGAAATTTGTTGTTACAAAAATTTTACACTCTTTCTCTCCACACACTTGCCAACATATTCCCTTGCCAAATCAAGCCAAACAATGCACATGACCTCAGACCTCACACTTTTCTCATTTTTGCCATAATTGGTAATTTTTCCCTCCAAGTTTTTTTCCACCCATGTGCTTCTGTAGGCCAGCTTATCATGCACACACAATTTATTCCCATTCCACTCACTATTTCCTCATCAAAACAATGCAAGCTTCAGTATGCAATAACATGAAACACACCTCACCATTGCAAGCTCATAACTTTTTTTATTTTTGTTAAATATGCCCTCTAACGGCTCTCAAGCCTTATGACCACTGTACCCTTACTCTACATGGTCTATATAAGAATACTATCACCCTCATTTTCTAAGGACGCGTTTTTATTCACTCTCAATAAACTTCTGAAGTTTTCTCTTCACTCTTCAAACTTTCCTTCGAAGCTATTATTTCTCTTTCTCCAGAGCTCTTATCTTCATCCATTCATCTTCATTGAAGTTCAAGACGGAAGATCAGAAGGTTTTATTGCTAATGTTTCAATGTTTAAATGCTTGTTAATGTGTTGGTAGCTGGCCATGCATTAGGCTTGATGTATAATTGTTGAATTTGAGCTCCATTCATGTTTGTGCTTTTCTAAAAAATTTGTGAACTTGTGTTTTTCAATAACTTTATGCTCTTGTATCTCTCAATCTTGCCTCGATTTTAAATTCTATAAGTTGTGTGATGTTGTTGGTTGTGTGAACTTTACATGGCGCTTTGAATCGTAAAAAATGGTTGAGAATTGAGTAAGATGTGAAGCTCTGAACATAACTTGCAAAATTATGCTTTAGCTCGTTAGGATTTTGGTGGTGTGGTAGGGACGATTACATGTATGGCTCTGATTGAATAGTGTTAGATCTTTTTGTAGCGCTTTCTGCTTAGAATAGGTGTAATAGGTCTCTTTTTTATTTTTTTTTTTGTTTTCTTCAATTTATTTTAATTAGTTTCTTCTATACAAAAACTGCCATAAAAATATTTTGAACTTCAATTTTTGTATATTTTCATACTTTGAATTTTATTTCATATTTTTACCATTTTTGAATGATTAAATAATTCATATAGATTAATTAGGTATGTTAATCACCTTTTAAGGTTTTGATTTTATTTTCTAATTTTAATTAAATTTAAAAAATCCATAAAAAATATTCTGAGTTAAATTTTGAGTCTAACTCATGGAAATGATTTTTTATTGATTTTATATAATTCTTGACACGTTAATTAAATCAATTGATTAGCTATGTCATTTTCTTTGTTATTTTTGTTGCATTGTGCAAATATTTTTTTTTAAAATTTTTTCCTCTTGTGATAAAATTCCAAAAAAATAGGCTTACTGACCCTTAGGTATTAAAATTATTTTTCATGATTTTTAATTTTATTTACATGTCAATTTTAATGTTTGTAAATTTTTTGGAAGTTAATGGTTGTTTTTGGTCCCTCTTCTTGCATAAGTCTAAAGAAAAAAATAATTCTCCAACTTCTCTCACTTCTACAAATCAAGAAAAATATGTTTAAGGTTCTTGGATAAGTTAAGATCATTTGAATAATTTTTTTCGAATTTTAAAGATTGATCTCATATTTTCTCAAAATATTTTGTGAAGCAACCCTAGTTTTAGCACTTTGCTAACTATTTTTGATGTTTGAATTTCAAAATAATATCTCTTCCTCATTCCAGGAACTTTTAACTATTACTCTGACTTTTAAACGTCCTTAGGGTGTTAGGATTAATTCGGTTTGATTTTACAAGTTATCTTTCTATTTTTGACCAAATTTTTGATTGAATGTGTCCTTTGAGAATTGTTTGAACTTTATGCTTTTCATTTGTTATTTTTGTGAACTTTTTGAGGCTGAACTTTGTACTCATGATATCCCCTGGACTCTCTTAATATCTCATGAGCTTAGAACAATTTTTTTGGATCCATTATAGCCATTGGTGATCATTTTGTTCGAGTTCTTAAATTGAACAAGTTTGAAACCCTAATTTGAGGCTTTTTGATAAAACCTTTGAGTAAATCTTTATCATGAATACGAATCATAGTGATTTTGAGATATGATAACTCAAGGATAACCTTTTAAAATTTTTTAGAGGCATTTGATTTCCTTTGATAATTTCCTCATTTCATTTTGGGATTGATCTTTTCTTGTACTTTTTTGTTTATGATGTGAGAAATATTGAATGCACTTGTGAAATACTAAAAGAATCAAGCCTCGCTCTTTGTGCCCTATTCTCATAAATTGTTTAGGATCTTAAGTTCATAATCATTGAATCATTTAAGCATCTTAACTTGTATTTTGCTTTGGTGTTTGATTCCACCAAATATGATCAAGGTTAAGAGTTTGTTTGGATACATCCTTTGTCAAGTACCTTGGATACATAATGAATGATGCTTTGTGTGTTTACTACTGACTTTTTGTATATTTATACCTTCATTTCTTTTCTCCTTGATTCTTTGATTGGTATTTCATTATCAACTCATCATGATGACATAATAGGAGCCATAAACTAGTCTTGACCTAGTTTGTGTTTGAATGCCCTTGAGGACTTTGAGTCCAACATTTCTTTGTGCTTGTGTATTAACTTCACGTATCTTATCATATCAACTATATATGCTCCTATGATCCTCTTGGTTAATACTCACTTGTTAATCAACATGGTGACATATTAGGAGTTACATCTTCTTTTTTACTTATGTTTTGAGTATCATTGTCTAATGGTTACTGTCATACCCCAATTTTTGACCTAAGATATCACCTCCCATCTGCATCGTTACATTGCAAGTGTTCACAAGCGATTTGACCTATTTTTATCAATTTTTAAAGCAGATTTTAAAAATTCACAACTTCTTCAAATTTCGACATTTTTGAGAGGTTGTTTTTGCACATGATTTTCCTTGACAAATTGTGAATTGTTGACGTTAAAAAGCCATGAAAAATTGTTGACGTTAAAAGTTGTTTTGTGAATTTGGTGAAATTTGAGTTCGACTGTGTTTTATTCATGATTTCTTTTCCATTAAAATTGCAAAAGACGCACTTAACATGTGTTATTATTTTTATTTATTTATTTATAATTTTTTTATTTCTTTATTCAAAATATAAAAAAATATGGTCTTTTATTAATTCTATTTAAATTTATATGTTTGTATCACTTTATTTGAAAAAATCCAAAAAAATATGTGATTAGCGTCGTCTTTATTTTAGTTGTATTTTACATCCAGAAAATCTCAAAGAAAAAATATATAGTTAATACCATTTTCTTTTATTTACATTTTATTTCTTTAGTCATTATAATTTTAGTTCCTTTTTAATTTTGATTTAGTTCTAATATTAATTGAATTTCTTAAATTGAATTATTATTATTACTAAACACTTTTTTTTTTGTGTCTCTTATTTTAATTTTTTGTACTTTTAGTTTAGTTGTCACTAACAATCTCCTCTTTTTTTGGTTAATTATTATTACTATTTTTCTTGTTGTTAATTTTGTTTTATCCAAAAAGAAAGAAAACATAAAGTTGGAGGAGGGTCACAGTTTACAACAACAATTTTATCTCATCTCTTATCATTTTCATGCTGCACATCCAAACACAACTATCCAAAATTTGCTTCAACTCTTGCCAAATCTTCCCACAAACCTGCTACTATCATACTGCAAAATCTGCACCATAATACATCCAAAAAAACCTGCATCATGTCAGTCCAAACCAGCCAAATATTACACCATTTTAGCAAGACCAAAACCTGTAACAAAAAAGCAATAAAGCAAATCACCAAAATTATCCAAGCTTATCAAAATCTCCCCCCGATTTCACTTATGTTTTGGCAATAAGACAGTAGAAAAAATACTTACAAGGGGGAACAAAAAGGTTGATTTTGGAGACCTCAAAAAAAAATCATCCACCTTAGAGAATCAAAACAGCACACAGTATGCACATAGAATTGGTAGTTTAGCAAGCAGCTGCCACACCTCCAATAACACTAACAACACAGGCAGAAATCTCATTACAAAAAACAGGAATCAGAGGAAGTGCCACCACTAGATATATGCGACAAGATAGTTGAGAGCTTGTATGAAAAATGAAAGCACCAACTTCTACTGCATTCAGAGCATAGGACACCGGTATGAAAGTGGACTCTGGACAGACCGTCCAAAGCAGGATTTCTATAACAATGAAAGACATGTTACAATAGTCACAACTGCTGGTCTTCCTTGGGTGACGGGAACAGTTATAAACCCATTTTTTTCCAGTTGCATATTTATCACAAGGTAAGCCATTTACCCTCTTGCCATTTAACTTCCTTGTATGATTGTATGATTGTATGATTGTTTTTTTGAACCTTTGTTTTAATTCCTTCTTGCTAACATTCCTACGAACAAAAAAAAAACATTTTTTTTAAACTCCATAACTAATTATAAACAAAACATAAAGAGGAAAATCTTCGCAAACTAAGAATTAACCTTGCGATTTGATAGCAAGAATCACAACCGCACACCTCTACATATACTTATTTCCGCTCGCACAATCTTCATCCCCAATCGGAACCGAACAAGATCCGGACGCAGATGCAGAGATTCTACCTTCAAATTCCTTGTTTTCGCAAACCGCACACACCCGTGAAGAAGACAACTAATTTTGGTAACAACGCAACACCATCTCTCTGTCCGCCTCTCTACTGTTCTGAGTCCATCTCTTTATTTTCATTTTCAATTTTTGAAATAAGGATTGTAAATCTGTTCTTGTTGGTGTGTTTGAGAAATAGAAAGGAGAAATGATGAATTTTTTTTGAAAGGAAAAAATGAATTTTGAGGAAGGAATAGATGAGTTACGGTTGAGAGAAAAGAGGAAGGTGATGTTGTTGAATACTGTGGGGGGAGAAAGGATCGATACAATTGCTTAGTTTTTGTTCCATTTTTTTTATTTAATCTATTTTATTTGGAAAGGATATAATGACAATAATATTTAAGTCTGACTTTTTCCCTTTCCAATAAAGCCAGCTGCAGCCGCCGCCCCCCTTTGCCTCCCTAGGGTTTCTTGTTTCTCTTCCTTTTCCCTTGACCCGGTGGCCCATTGGGCCCATTTTTAGTCCATTCCAATTTCAATTTTCCTTTATGTTCTTATTAACTCATGCTATTAATGAATAGACAGTATTAGCTCAATTGGTAAAAGGTGTTACCAGTAGTATTATTTTAGTAACTTTAGGATTTTATTTCATTTAGATTTGACTTAGTAAATTTTAGAATTTTATTTGTTTTAGTTTTGACTTAGTAAATTTTAGAATTTTATTTGTTTTAGTTTTGACTTAGTAAACTTTAGAATTTTATTTTGTTTTAGTTTTGACTTAGTAAACTTTAGAATTTTATTTTGTTTTAGTTTTATTTTAGTAACTTTAGGATTTTATTTCATTTAGATTTGACTTAGTAAATTTTAGGATTTTATTTCATTTAGATTTGACTTAGTAAACTTTAGAATTTTATTTGTTTTTATTTAAGTTAACTTTAGAATTTTAGTTGTTAGTTTTAGTTTAGGGACTTTAGAACTTTATTTGATTTAGATTTAGTTTAGTAATTTTGGAACTTTTTTTGTTTTAGATTAGCAACCTTGGAATTTTTATTTAGTAGATCTAATTTTCTAATATTAAAATTTTAATTTAGTTTAGATCTAGCGTAGTAATTTTAGAATTATTTTTATAACTTTAGATAACAAATTAGTTTAGAATTATTTTAGTAAGTAATCTTATAGTTTTGACTTAGATAATTAGTTCCCTTTTCTTCTATTTAAATATCTTTGTCATTTTAATTTCTCGATGCTTTTGGTCATTAATCTGTTTCATTAGATTTGTTTTCTTGTGAATTTTTGAATGCTTATACTTTGTGGATTCATCTTATTTTACTTGCTCGATTTAATCCAAGGGAATTGTTTAATTTTTGTCGACTTCATGTCATTAAAAAACATTGTGCGAATACCCTCATTTTATTAAAAACTTAAGATAATTTTCCCAAATATTCAATTTTTTTAAAACTCACACCTTTTAAGTCAAAACTTCGACATTAGGTCGTCGTATCTTCAAAAAAACCGTCCAATACCCATCTTTGGCCAAACAATTTATTTTAATCAAACGAACATTTTAATAAACAGATATTTCAAAAGGTTCCTATAGAATACTATAGATACATTGGGTGCTAATACCTTCCCATTGTATAACCAACCCCCTAACTCTAGACCTCTTTTCAAAACGCCTTGTATTTTCATTACTTTTAAAAAGTATTATGTTACATTGCATACTTTAGGGTTTTATTTCGCTCTTTCCCCTTTTCCCTTGGAAATAATAAAGCGCGGTGGCGACTCTTGCTTTTGTGAGACGAATTAATTAATAGTTCGATCTCCGATTTACCCCGCTACATTTTTTATCGCTACAGAATTAGCGACTCTGCTGGGGAAAGATTGACCTCTTGCTGGTCCATCCCTAAGTGGGTTAAGCCTAGTTTGTTTTATCTGTTTTATTATTATTTGATTTGTTTGATTATGTGTTTAAATTGGGGTTGTTTGGGTTTTTGCAAAGGACGAATCCTATACCCGGATTAAGTTACACTTAAGAATAGGACGGGCGGTATAGTCATGTTAACTTTGAGGGAGTAATCCCGAAGAAGGAGGCATGAGATCCCCCACTTAATGGAAGGCCCTTTTGAACATAATATTTGTTTACCGAGTAATCGGGAAGACATTATTATTTTCGACCTGGGAGCCAGAGAAATTGAGAACCGTAGAACCCTGACCCATCTTGGCCTTTTAGGTGTAGCGCGGAGATTATAACGGAGTAATCCGGAAGTAGTTGTTACGCGATGCTACGCTCGGATGAGTTTCTCTTGAGAATATTGCGAATTATTGAGTAATCAAGACGTTGGTAATATCCGAAAGAGGGATGTAGACTCTGGGAACTCTTAGAACCTTGTCTTGCAGGTGTGATTAAACCATTAGTACATACCTTGGGGTAGACTTTATCCCTTGACTCCATGCACAAACATTGAACCTTTGAACCCCTATGTTTGTGAACTTGTGTGTAATTGTTGCATTATCATTCATCATGCATCCATCAACATTTTCTTGAAAAAACTATCAAAATGAACGATCATTTGCATCGCATATCATGCATCATCCGATTCCACTTCACATGTTTTCTAAAACTGGATTTTGTAACGCATGGAGTGGTTTTTCCAGAACTGGATTGCTGTTGATGTTCCTGTTGTGATGCACATTTCTGAGTAATGTTTTGTTTTATTTTTGAATTTTTTTTTCGCTCTGCCCAAGGCGAAAAGTATTTGTGTCGGGCTATGTTGAAAATAAATCCTTTTGCTCTGCCCAAGGAAAAAGAGAAAATGTATGGGCTCTTTGTTTCAAGTATTTCCCCTCATGAATAAAAATGTTATTTTGTCCACTACTGTTTTATTTTTTCACTTTTTCTGGGAAATAGTAACGAAAATTAATTGGTAGTAATGGGAAAATATAATAACTTTTTGTTTTATTTGTACAAATCGATTTCTAAAATAAAGCATAATCATATGTGCAGATTAATCCATGACTTAACCATTGAAAACAATGATCCTATGCCCTCTCCCAACTTTGAATTCCCTGTGTTCAGAGCCGAGGAAGAGGATAATGAAGAGATTCCTGATGAAATTTCCCGTTTACTTGAGCACGATGAAAAGACAATTCAGCCGTTTGAAGAACCTATAGAGATGATCAATTTGGGTAATGAAGAAGATAAAAAGGAAGTCAAGGTCGGAGCATTGCTTATCCCAGAGGTCAAAGAGAAAATGTTGGAGCTTCTCAAAGAGTATGTTGATGTGTTTGCTTGGTCCTACCAAGATATGCCAGGTTTGGACAACAATATTGTGGAGCATCGTTTACTGTTGAGACCTGAATGTCCGCCGATTAAGCAGAAGTTGAGAAGGACTCGTCCCGATATGGCTGACAAGATCAAAGAAGAAGTTCAAAAAAAAATTAATGCAGGTTTCCTTGTTACATCGGTCTATCCTCAGTGGTTAGCCAATATAGTGCCTGTTGCTAAGATGGACGGCAAAGTTCGAATGTGTGTAGACTATAGAGATCTGAATAGAGCTAGCCCAGAGGATGACTTCCCATTACCGCATATTGACGTATTGGTCGACAGTACTGCAAAGTTCAAAGTCTTTTCTTTCATGGATGGTTTCTCTGGTTACAATCAAATCAAGATGGCACCAGAAGATATGGAGAAGACAACTTTCATTACACCGTGGGGAACATTTTGTTATTGGGTTATGCCGTTTGGTTTGAGGAATGCTGGTGCAACATACCAAAGGGCCATGACTGCTTTGTTCCCTGACATGATGCATAAAGAGATAGAAGTGTATGTAGATGACATGATTGCCAAATCACAAACTGAAGAAGATCACTTGGAACATTTATTGAAGTTATTCCAGCGTTTGAGAAAGTATAAACTCCGTCTGAATCCCAACAAGTGCACTTTTGGTGTTCGTTCTGGAAGACTTCTGGGTTTCATTGTCAGTCAGAAAGGTATTGAGGTAGATCCTGATAAAGTCAAAGCTATTCGGGAAATGCCCGCACCCAAGACGGAAAAACAAGTAAGAGGATTCCTTGGGAGACTGAATTACATTTCTAGGTTTATATCTCATATGACTGCTACCTGTGGGCCGATTTTCAAGCTTCTCCGGAAGAACCAAGAATGTGTGTGGTCAGAAGATTGTCAGAGAGCTTTTGATAGCATCAAGGAGTATTTGCTTGAACCTCCCATTTTGATCCCTCCGGTGGAAGGAAGACCTTTGATTATGTACCTGACTATATTGGAAGATTCCATGGGATGTGTGCTTGGTCAACAAGATGAGACTGGAAGAAAGGAACATGCCGTATATTATCTGAGTAAGAAATTCACAGACTGTGAGTCTCGATACTCAATGCTTGAGAAAACCTGTTGTGCTTTAGCTTGGGCTGCTCGCCGTCTGCGCCAGTATATGATTAACCACACCACTTGGTTGATCTCCAAAATGGATCCGATCAAGTATATCTTTGAGAAGCCCGCCTTATCTGGAAGAATAGCCCGTTGGCAGATGTTGTTATCCGAATATGACATTGAGTATCACACTCAGAAAGCAATCAAAGGGAGTATTTTAGCCGACCATTTGGCTCACCAACCAATTGACGATTATCAATCCATCAAGTTTGATTTCCCAGATGAAGATGTTATGTACTTGAAGGCTAAAGATTGTGCAGAGCCGTTACCCGAAGAAGGACCTGATCCCGAATCCCATTGGGGTTTAATATTTGATGGAGCTGTGAACTCTT